GCTGTCGGTGGAGAACTTCCCTCGATCTAGAGGCCCGGGGGGGGGGAGGAGAGGGGGAAAATGGGGAGGAGCATGTGAGCATGCTCAAGTGTGTACCTTATGTGTCCGTAGGGCGGCCAGCTGCTTGCGCACGCCCGGTTCCCGGAGAATGACATTGATTCTCTGTGCCCGGCGGATGCGCAAGCGCTGTCGATAGGTGGTCTTCGGGGGGTTCATGCTCAGGTAGATGCGCTGCCGCGGGGTGCCGGTGGTACTATGCGATGTCCCCGGCCGGAGCGCAACACGGCCCAAAGTGTCGGTCGAGCCAGAGATGGTCGTCCGACGCCCGGACGACATGGGCGAGATGGGGTATGCCGAGGGGAGAAAATAGGGCGATGCTCCGGCCTTGGCGGCCATTGGACTGTCTGATGGCCGAATTAGGAAGGTCATGTTGTGCGTGCCACTGCCAGCTGCCAGAGAAACGGCCGGATCTACACCCGGGGAAGGAGCAGATGGGCCCGAAGAAGAAGAAGAAGAAGAAGAAGGGGAGGAGGAGGAGGAGGAGGACACATCGGCCGGCTGGTCAGCCTTGCTGGCCATGCCGGGCAGGAGGGATGGCCGCCGTGCGGAGCCCTGGGTGCCCAGTGCTCCCTGGCTCCCATGGGCCAGGGAGATGGAGGAGGACCACCGCCGACCGGATAGATCGGCAAGCGATGGGGCCGCCATGACCATTGGAGACATGCCACTGCGCGTCGGCGGCCGGAAGGGAGCCTGCACCGGGCGCCGGGCTTCCGTGCCGAGTGCAGGCCCACGCGCTCCGCCAACGGTTGGCTTCGGCGGCAGGGAGCCAGCGGTCACGCCAGGCGAGGGGAAGGGGTGGCTGCTGCCATCGGCCCCGAGGCGCAACTTGGCTGGGTCGGTGATGATGGACGGCGGGGGGAGGGGCTTTTTGTCCGGCGAAATGGCAGCATGCCCGGTCCCCTCAAATTCATGGTCCGAGTCGAAGTCCGAATCAAAGTCGCTGTAGAACTCGAAGCTCGAGTCATCGGAAGCTGTAAGTTCGTCCACCTCGTCATGATCGTTGTCGAAGACCATGCGCTCTCTGGGCGGGCCGCCACCGGCCATCGACCTACTGCCAGGGCCATCACCGGCCAGCAAGATACGCGCGGCCTCCTGCTGGCGCTGGGCCCGGCTGCTGCCAGCAGCGACCGGGGCCCGGCCGAAGGACACCTCATCCAGCACCTGCACGGCATCCTCATCATCGGGGACAGTGCTGCTTGAGCCGGCATCCGACGCCGGTGACAGGGGAGATGCCTGTCGAGAACCACCCTGGCCGCCGGCCGGCACCGGCGGGGAGAAGGTCGACATCTCGGTGATGGAGGGCCGCTGAGGGGCGCCACTCCCGGCGGACCCCCGGCGGAGAGACATGCTCGAAACAGACTCGCCAATGGCATGGCCAATGTTGGATGACCCCCGACGAAGGGTGTGGGCCAGGCTGGAGGCTGCCCGGGAGACTGGGTTTTCTGCCGCCAGTGCGGCAGCCGTGGCGGCTGTCGGACTGGACGAACCAGCCAGCAAGCCATCGAGCGCATCGATCTCCACCGATGACCGGCGCTGGAAGAAGGACCGGCTGCGCATGGTATTCAGCTGGGAGCGCTCATTCTGGAGGGCGGACTGGCGCTCGCGCTCGCGCTCGGCATAGACAGCGTAATAGGAGGGAAGCTCGCCGGGGCCGTTGCCCATGCTGGAGATGCTGGCATTGGAAGCACCGGCTGCCAGGCTGGGAGATGCCTCACTGGAAGTTGAGCCACGGCCGGAGAGAACCGGCCGGCGCCCGGCCGAGGGGAGAGGCTGCGACATGGCCGATGAGGCGGAGATGGTGCCGGTGGTGGAGGCTGCGGCGGTGGCTGCGGCGTTTGTGGCGGCGACACTTGGCCCAATGGCATCGCCGGGTGCATGAATGGCAGCGAGGGCGGCTGTCGCAGCCGCGGCCGTGGCAGCTGGCACTGGTGGTGGCCGCGAGGAAGGACCAGCGTCAAGCTGTGTGCTGGCAGATGCGAGACCACTCCTGGAGTCCGGACTGAGGACCAGGAGCGAACTCTTTCGTGCCAGGGTGCCCGACTGAGAAGGGTAGAGAACGCTCGGGGCAGGGGGCGTCGGCATCGGAGCAGGTGGTGGGGGGTTGAGCGTGCCACGGGAGAGGGATCTACAGGCACATGTTAGGCATACGAGACTGGCTCTCGGGCTGGCTCACTTTGTTGGACTGTTGTTGCTGTGAAAGTGCACCCCCGAGCGGTGTGGAGATGTGGGTGTGCATGCCGCCCCCCCCCCCCCCCCGGCCCCTCCTCTCCGGGG